TCCACATGGACCCTGAGGTGACCTATCTGGTGTGTCTCCTCCACATATTTTGCATCCAGCTGGCAGTGTCCTCTTGTGAATGCAAGGATTTTCACTTCTGCCCACATTAGCATGACACTGTCCCTGATGTCAAATCCATGATCTCCCAACACCAAGTCTCCAGGCAATAGTTTATAAAGAAGGCCACTATTCTCAGTCATATGCTTGTCACTGATATAACCTCCCCACCCTTTGGAAATGAAAGAGATAGCTCCCTGTGGTGTACTGCCAGTGAGATACTTTAGGGTGTGCTTGTGTTTGTTGTGGGTAAATGTCTATGCTCTAGCTTTCAGATTTGATGCTCTCTCAATGTTAATTTCAAAGCAGTCTACAATAATGGCAACAAGATTGCCAAAAGCCTCCATAAACTGATGTGGCATGCTGCCTAGCAAGCAATGTCTCTCTGGCTAGTGCACCCAAGGGGTAAGGTATGTAAACATTGCACCTATGGTGTCTCTGAACATGGTGGACACAGTCTGTCAATCTTTTCAGAAGAGGATTGTGAGACCTTGCTGTCTCTTTGTCCTCTGATTAAACCGCCCAGAATACATTGATTCAGAGATGTAACGATGGTATCCATTCAGGCGAAGTATTCTGCAACGATTCGCTGGAGGCGGGTTGAGTAGGATCCATTAGCAGTTTAATAGCATAATATCCAAAACAGCAGGCAGAAAACGTAGTCGAGAAAAAGAAAGCAAAGTCCGATAAACCAGGAAGTCAAGCAGCGATGTAACCAAATCCAAAAACACAAGGCAAAGGCAGAAAACCGTAAACGTGAACAGGGTCAAGCACAAAAGACAATAAAAACACTAAGGCAGAGGGAAAAGGCTTGGTAATGTCCTGAAAACAATACTTCACGTCCTAGTGTGGTGAGCACTCTGTTTAAATGTCCGTAAAACCCCGGAAGTGTTTCTTGTGGGTGGCGTCAAAACTCAGGTGAGGGCTCCCTCTGGCGGGCAGGTGCCGGTGGTGGCACTACAGACCCATTAACTGACTTTATCAACTTTAACTTTAATATCCTGTAAATGTATGGTAGTAACAGTAAACTTATTTGTACGTTTGCTCCCAATTTTATGGATTTGCGTGTCTTCATGCAGCAAAACAAGATGGTGACCGATCTGAAAATATATGAACCAAGTCTTGATGATTTCAGTGGTCACGTGGCTTAGTTTAAATACCAGTCAACGAAACTAACTTATGTTAGAACAATGACAAGGGAGAAAAGTAAATTTATTGAGTCAGATCAAGTATAAACGTTTCTTTAGAATAACAACAAGGCATATGAACTTTTTTTCAGTGTGGCCAGACTTTTTCGAGTTGACAGAAAGAATACAGTAACTCAGACAACTGCTCTGTACAATTGTGGTGAGCAGAAAAGCATCTCAGAACACACAACACTTCGAGGTGGATGGGCTACAACAGAAGACCATGTCTGGTTCCATTTCTCAAGGTTCAAGGTTCTTTAGTGTCACATACATATCACATACCTGTGAAGTAATGTAGTTTAAATGTTTTGTGTGGGTTCCGTGCACTAAAGTAGGTAGCCTTCCTTAGCAGCTCCATCTTGCCTTAATTCTGTCAGTTAAGAACAGAATGCTGAGGCTTCAGAGGGCACAGGCTCACCAAAACTGGACAGTTGTTGACTGGAAATATGCAGCCTGGTCTGATGAATCTCGATTTTTGATGTGGCACACAGATGGTAGGGTCAGAATTTGGCACCAATTGTCCAGACCGGTGGAGGTGGTGGTGGATAATCCTTTTTTCATCCCCCAATGGGGAAATTTGCATTGTTACAGCTGCAGATATAAATATATAAAAAATTAAAAATAAATAATTATAAGAATATAAAAGAGAGACCCACCAAGAATACACAAAAACACAAACACACAACAGTATTAAAGTGACCAAACTGCATTATTCCCATGAGACGGGGGGTTACCAAAGATTTATTGTCCAATTTAGTACAAGAGATTTATTGTCCAGTTAAGTGATGGGGTCTGCTGGGAGTAGTGCTGGTTGTACAGACTTACAGCAGCACTAAAGGAGCTGCCCAGTGCCACCAGAGTCTCATGCATGGGGTGGGAGTCATTCTCCAGCATACGTGGTAGCTTGGCCATCATCCTCCTTTCTCCCACCACCTGCAAGAGTGCGTCCCACGACAGAGCTGGCCCTCCTTATGATTTTATTCAATTCAATTTCAATTCAGTTA